ATAGTTTTCATACTTGAATTAAACTTTGACATAATCTAAAAAATTTGTATGTGTACAGTATTTTAAATGAAAAAAATATTGTTTATAATTTGTATTTGAATATAAATACACTTGGTTTTCTTTTTATGCGGTAGATAGGTTCCACAGGAAAACGCATAAAAATAAATCGCACAAAAAAGGACTAGACACACTTATAAAAATAAAGGATACGTTCCATATTTTTTTAAAACCACAAAAAAACTAAATCAATCAGTTACAATATACCGAAAATCGCGTAAAAAAGGGTTTATTAAATTTCAGAAAAATTATTAGTCTTACTTATTCTTTCTGAAATGTTTATTCATAATTTTATAAAAACGTTAACAATCATAGACAAGTTTATTAAATTAAAAAAAAAATATATTCCTTCTAAATTTATACAGAAAAATTTTACAAAAAAAATACAGAATTTTTTTTATGAAAGTCAATCTTTCTTCACAATTTTTTCTTTAGAATTATCGTCGCTATATGAGAGTGTTCGGCATAATTTGCGAACTGGTTCGAAATCACTTTCATCACTAGAAGAGATAGTCAGCATATCAGATCTATGTCCTGAAGATAATGATTCTTCACAAGTAAAATTAGTCTCAACTTCGCATGTTGATTTTTTCCCTTTGACAATATAATCAGTGATTAAACTTTGCGATGGATTTGCTATTTTTTTTTGTACAATTCCTGATATCCAGAAATGCAATTCTGAAGCTCGCGTTTAAACTTGAATGCTCGTTCAGAATTATCACTTTTTCCATGAAATGGTTTGCCAATTTGTGTCAAAACGTGTCAAAATGGCCTAAAATAGTTATTTAAAAAAAATGGTTCTTGAAATAAAAACCGCATAAAAAGAATACGCATAAATATTTTCGTTTTATTTTCTTAGAATTAGTGCAAAGTATGTTGGTCACACTAACTGTTAAGTTTTTATAGTTTTCATACTTGAATTAAACTTTGACATAATACATTTGTACTTAAATGTAAATTATTCATAAAAATATTTTCGTTTTATTTAATCTTTTCAAATTTGTTTTCCTTTTCAAAAGTATGCAACAGTTTCGATTCTTAGAATTACTTACTTTGCAGTTGGTGACACTGACTGTTAAGTTTTTAAAGTTGTCATACCTGATTTGAATTTTGACATAACCTATGTAATCATGTTTACATCTTTGAGACTGTAACAATCAGTAATAGTAGTTATTGACTTTTGTGGAAGCAATTATCATGGACGAAGAGTACGTAATCCAGAAGGCGAAACAAGCTTTACAAACAGATCCATTATCTGCAAAAGCTTGGATGTTGACTGCTAAAACTTTATACCCAAACAATTTTGGTGTACAGGTGAGTTGAACAACGATAATAAATTCTTAGATTGAATATACATTATCAATATTTACAGTTTGAGGCTTACAAAATAGAAAAATGTTCTGGACATGTCAAGGAGACTGCAAAGTGCTTCAGCAATTTGATTGGAAAGTTTCAACAGCAGCCAGAATTCTGGGAAGAAATCAACCTTGTAACGGCTGCATTAAGAATGGAAACAGAATCTAAAGAAAACGATTTTCTTTGTGAAATGTTCAAACATATTTCTGCTGGTGAGTTTATTTGATTGGAAAAGTCTGAGAGTCATTTAACATGTTAATGATACTTTATTTTAGATGTGCAACACAAATTACTGTTACTAACTGCTGATCACTGCAAAGATATTCATGAAAGATGTAAATTGTTGCTGCTACTGCTTCAAAGGTTTCCAAGTGCCATTAGAACACATGGAGTAAGTTGCAACTAAGTTATAATTAATAAAACAATATTTTAATTCAACAATTTCAGTCAAGCCTTGTAGAAACTCTTCTTTCACATAGCCTCTCTGCGAGCACTGATGCAAATTGTTTCCACAAACTATTGGTCTGTGATCTTCTACCATTACTGAATTCCCAATCTAACATCACTTTAGAGCTGGCACCAAAAGTGATTTTCACTTTGTTGCATAAAACATTAAAATTGCACATATCAACTTTGAAAGAAAACCAACAAAGTAACAAGGTAATTATAAGTTTTTAGCTACAATTTTCAATGTATAATTATATATTTTTTTAGGATCTTTCATGCTCAGAACCTTGGTCACAACTATTCTGTGTCATTGAATTTGTTGGTAAGCAATTAGGTTGGGACCCACAGCTTGTCAACTTCACAAATTGGTAAGTTTAACAATAAAACTGACTATTAATTTAACAACTGTGATTGAGTATGTATTAACTGATGGATATTGTCTTTAGGACTAAAGAAAATTACTGGCAACGTTTGATGCATTTCTACCAGTCAGCAAATTGGGATGACTTCACGAATCCCAAGCAATTGGTGTACTGCTTGATATTATTTCTGATTTATTGCTTGCATCAGTATAATATGAACATGAGCATGGAGAATTACGTGATGATCGAGGCGTTCACAGATGCGTCTCTTCCGAGCCCGCAGATTCCAGAGCACAAAGCTAAGAAGAGGAAGACAGAAGTCGATTTAAATGTACCACATTTGAGTACGGAAAACTCCAACAAAAGCATTACTTCGAATTTCATGTTGGCTGTGAACTGCTGGGACCTCTTGCATTCAACAGACGAGATCAACTCGGGTAAAATTACTTTTCTTGACAAACAGTTAGAAAGCAATATTAATTAATTATAATTTTAGAATTCACTAGTTTATCTACGATGTTGGGATTAGAGGTTTGGTTGAGTAGTTTCTATATCGATTATTCTATCTACAAGGGGAAGTACGAGGAGGCGTTGAAGCGTTTGGATTGCGATGGTCGCGCTCCGATTATGAAAGCCATTACGAAGGCGTGCATACATTACACGCAATATAATTATCTGGTAGTGTTTCGAATAAGGAGCAGTAGTGGATATGTTATTATAATGGGTTTTTGTTTGTAGGTTGCGTTCGAGAATGTAATTGAAACGCTGAACTTGTTGCCGACGAACATCGGCACTACCAGCACGCAACTGGTGGTTGGCGGGAATCAACGACATTTGCACTTTCTGCCTCTGACAAAGTTGGCAGTTCTTCAATTCTGCAGCAAGCTGGTTTTACGCAGCATACGGCAGAAGGGCGCGAAAAGCTCCGATATGGCGATCGGACATACCCTTGTCCTGATGCAGATAGATTGGCCGCAGGAGGAAGAGATGCTCCCCAGTTTGATGGAGGAGATCAGCAGGGCCGGGAGTTTCGCATATCCGCACTTTCAAGATTACCTGATTCAGGTAGATATTTTGGAGGAATTGGCGTACCTGTGGAGCATCCCGGGTGGTAAAATCACGTTGGATATTGTGCCGAATTTGACGACGAGGAGGATGGGTACTAGACTTGCTGATAAAGGGATGAAAGATGTCATTCGACAAGCCATCCGCAAACAAATCAGTAGGTGCAATGAACCCATCCACGAGCTGATACATTCGTTCCTCGTACAGGAAAAACTACAGATCTCACCGACATTGAACTGAGTAGCTTCTCATAGACACATATTTTTAAAGTTTTATTGTACAGAACAATTTATTTATTGTTAAACTTATTAAATTTTTATATAAAGATATATAGGATACTATTAATTACCTAACAATAAAACATAATCCTATACTAAAATCACTCAAACAATAAATGATTTACGAACATTTATAAAAAAAATATTACTGAAAATAATATCAACAGAATGGTCTTCAAATAATAGTTAAACATCCTTAAAATATTCAAATTTACTTCTGGTTTTGCAAAATTTTGACCAAAATAATTGATTATAAAGAAAACTTAATAATTCCATAGTCTATATTGTACATTGAATGGACGCATATTCGTTTCAATAACAAGTTGCCATTACATAGACATAACGTTAGTTATTATATGTAAAATAAATGCAAATAAAAAACATTCATTTTTCAAATGAGTGAGTAATTTTTTAAATATATATTTAATTACAAAATTAATTCATGAATAAAATTTCCGTGTAACAATATAGGCACTACATATACAAAACATACAAATTAATTAAAAAATAATATCTATAAAATATATATGAATCTTTCCAATATTAATCTGTTCCTTTTATGTAATTGTATATTATAAAGCATTTAAAAGGTATCTTAAACCTAAGTTTAATGGTGAAACGGTTACGATGTGTGCTCAAGGCCATCCTCCTTGGCCTTGCTGTCCAGGTTGACCGGGCGGTCCAGGCTGCTGTCCCGGTTGACCGGGGTATCCAGGAGGACCCGGCGGGAACTGACCGTGCTGCTGCGGGTATTGCGGAAACGCGCCCGGATAAGTTCCGTAATTTGCTACAAAAAAAAAAACAATTTATTTTCGGTTCAATTAGTTGTTAATGTTGTCTTACTTGGGTATGGCATGGTTCCATATGGATTGTAGCTTTGCGGCATTGGGGGCGGCGCGTACGAGGGATAAGGCGTGTTATTGGTAGCCCCGTAGGGTATGGGCATGTGCTGGACGTACACTGGGTAAGGTAGATTAGTTTGAGCGGCGCTTGGGACCGGAGCATGCGGTGGGTTGGTATCGGCGGCAGGCGGAGCTTGAGGGTTGACCGCCGGCGTGTTATGATAGGTAGGTTGAGTAGGTGAAATCGCAGGTGCCTGTCTGCTGCTTTCCTGTGTCAAATCTTTGAGCAACTCCTCCTTCTCGGTCTTGCGAGCGAAGCAATAATCGGAAATCTTGTTTTGGAATACTAGCAGTAACTAAAAAAATAGAAACAAGAACGTTAGTTACATAAAGAACTGATGTATTATTGCGTGTTGTTTATTGATATTTACCTCGGTGAGTTCATTGTAGAACTTGGTACCTTCCTTGAGATTATTTTGGAGATCTCTGAAGGCGTCGTGCGCGAAGGCCAGATCGCACATCATCTTCTTCCTGCCGCCACTGGTCACGCCAGTCTCGTTCACGAATTCCGAGTAAGTGGTCTGGATCTGCTCGATCAGACTCTCCTGCCTGCTCACGGTCTCATCGACCTGCGTGCCCAATGGACCGAACATCTTTCCCAAGTTCTCTGAAGACATGACAGGCTCGTTGATCACACCGTCGCTCGCCAACGCGGACATAAATTGGGCCTTCATATCGCTGGTGGCGCTGTTCAACTCTGTCTCGATGACATCCCGTTCCGCCTTCACCGTCTCCACTTCCTCCATGAGGTTGCGCAGCTTTTGGGCGGCGGACGAATCGGAGATGTTGCCACTGCCGTCGGCGGAATTCGGCACCGCCTCTTGCAATTCTTCCGGCGATTTGCTCAGCAGCTCCATGCCGGATCTATGTTTATCGAACTTCTCACGGACAGTTTTATCCGCCTGCACCGCATTATTGATGATCTGGCGGTACTTCGTGATGTTCGAGCGGAACATTTCCGTTAACTTGTCCGACTGCGTTCTGGTCCATTTGTCTTTGAATTGATCCCTCAAGGCTTTATCAGCATCACGTTCTTCGTTCAACATCCTGTCCGCCTGAAACGATCAATTATAAATTATTTAGTAAGCGATATTTACTTCTATTTATTATACAAAATATAATGATTATGGTTGCAGAACCAGGAATTTGCGGGACAAATTTCCCGGGACATTTGGAAATGAACTCGGGAACTATAACAAGCGTCTGCTTTGACTAATATAATGTGTTTGCTGTAGAAACAAAACAAACAAGTTGTGTTCAAGCATTATTATAATATATAAACAAACAAATATAAAAAGTACAAAGAAACATCCACAAATACCAGAATTGATACAAGTAATATAAACAACTGTATGCACTATTAGATAGACTTGGACAACGAATTATGACTATTGAAATATCAACATAATCCAAAAACTTATAAAGCTGGAGAAGATATTGTTTCTGGTTGTTCAAAATCAACCAAGATTTAATTTGCTTAAACATTCAAGAATGAAACAATTTTTTTAAATTTCTCGAGTCCCGAGAATTCCCGGGAATACCTTAAACTTAAACAGTTGACTCGTGTTCCGGGAATTAAAAAAAATGTCGAGATTCGTGATTCATGAAATCGTTTCTACACATATTATAATTATAAAATTTTCTATCAAATTTTACCTCATTTAAAATCTCCTGGTTTCTCTTGAGTAGTTCGGGAAGATCTACAATCATCTTCTCCAAATTGGCGATACCACCCAGAGACCGAACGGCTTCACCCTTCTCCATAAGAGATGGTGGCAACGTGTTGCCCTCTGTAACTTCAACGGCTGCCGGCAAGTTGAGGGACGCCAAAATGCTGTTCAACATTTGCGTTGCCTCGCGCATCTTCATAATCTTGGATTGCACCATGTCGGTTCGTCTGATGTCGTGAGCGGCGAGCGCTTGGTGCACCGCAACCGGGACAAGCTCATCAAACAGATCTTTGAAATTCTGGCTCATCGGACTATTTGGCGCTGTCATCTTGGCCAGCTGAGCTTTCCCGATCGGCGCCAAAGAACGCAAATCGGGTATTCTCTCGTGGTAGATAAAGTCGTTATCCTTCTTCGCCTCGGCCAAATTCCTCTGCGCCTTGTTCCACAGATCCTGGAAGAGCACGCGATTCAACCGTTGCTGCGAGATCTTGAACTGCTCCTCCGCGCTCTAAAAAATAAACAACAAAATATTTACATGCAATTCACGAAACTTGATCAAGTTCAAATTACAGTAAGCCAGGTGATCTCCTCGCCAACCGCCTTGTTCTCCTTGCACACCAAGCTCTGATATAAGTTTGCGATGGCTTGATAAGATGCTTGCTTCGCGGAAATAATCATCAACCACTCCTTATCCCAAAACCCTTTGAACTGCTCCTTGTTGAAGATCTTGACGCATTCCGTATACAAATCCTCGCAGCAAGCAGCCAGCTTCGCTATTATTGCGTCTTTCTTGTTATCTGAGACCAGGAAATATATTAAAAAAAATTCGGGAAACCAGAAAGAATCTATGAATTACCGTGGATGCATTTATGAACGAAAATCTCTTGGGCCTGGGCCAACATCAGCTGCGCCAAAGCAGCTAGCGTGTCTGGGTTCAAATCCGGCGTCGGTTCCTGTTGAATCGATAAGATGACGATGGATTTCAGGTAATTGAAAATACCGGATGATTGCTGCAGCAGCTTCGCGGCCAATTTAAGACCCTCATCGTTTTCGATGCTCTGCGACGCTGCAACAGAGCTCTGAAGAGCTGCGATGTTGAACAAGACGCAAATCTTCTCGTACGATAAAGAAGTCACCGCTGAAAATAAACGTTTATAATTAATTCGAGTTCATAATTGCTTTAAAACGTAGGCAACCGATGCACCATAACGCAATGGGGGTTCATGTACGGCTTGTTGTAATTAAAGGTTCACTTGTTTTAGTGGTTGCCTGGTTATAATGTAAACTGGGGATTGTTATTATTTTTATTTTCGTACTTAGGCTTATTCTTGAACCGAAAATGGATCCCTTGTCCATTGCATCCTTCCATTTGAATGGCACTTGAAGGTCATGAGGAGGGATCTTTCCTTCCAGGGCCACCAATTGATCATAGTAACTGTTAATTAAATAATAAGTTGTAGGTGTAAAACAATGTAAGAGTAATTGCGCTATTTTTCAATAGAATTGTTCATCTATACCAGTATAGAACTTCTAAGCTGCTCTCGTATTTCTCGAAGGCTCGCCACAGGGCATTCGATCTGAGCTTCGCGAGTTCGTTGATCGCATCGCTGTAATCCTCCGGTTTGTCTGCGGTGCTGTAGCGAGACTGGATAAGATTCTTCAGAGGGTTGACGATGTCCACGTCGGACGGCTTCTTCAGCGGCACCGAGATTATGTCCATCTCGGTAAATTTACTGGACTTTTTCACGTAGCGGAATTCTAATCCGGTGACTCAAACAGTTTGTCATCCAACACTATTGTCAACAGATCTGACGTTTCTAGACGTTTATGAGAAATCCCAATGGTATTCAGCGCCGCGACGTCGACTATTTGCTGTACTATATTTGACAGCTGCCTGGAATTCTATATTTAATCCATTACATCACCAAAATAAAGTTTAAAACTTTTTCAAACTATTTCCAACATTTATATTAAGTATTAAACTATAGTTAAGTACTCACTTAATATTCCTTACATTTCTAGGAGACATTATTTGTTATTATTTTATATTTGGTATTTAACGAAAATGTTCATTATTTAGTGTACTTTATCAATAACATTAGAAAAAACAAAACAAAAGTACATTGTATTTACTTATGTAATAAACTGATTAAAGAAAACATAACTTTGACATATAAAATCTAATGTCAATGTCAACGTCACATATAAATTAAATATAAATTAACTTATTTCTGCAAAGTTATTGGCTAATTTTCTATGAGTCTACATCTAAAATACTTTCTTTATACTAGCGTTTTCCAAACTCGGAGGCGCGAATATTAGTCACAGTGAGCAATTTTCCAAATGATTGCTTAAGATTTATCTATTTTATGGAATGGTGAGGCGCCAAATGATTAAATATTTTTAAGGGAGGCTTAGTAACATCAAGTTTGGAAACCACTGCAAAACCAGTACATTATACTATTTCATCAAATAAGGAAGCTGTACATTAACATTATATGACTATATACAGGCTTAATAAATCAGAGCAAAAAGTTCTCAAGAAGCTTTCAAATAAAGAAATAAACTTAAGAAAACAATAATATAAATTCCATGGCTTTTAAACAAATAAAAATAATGTTTTTATTGCTCGCAGTTTGTTTACTTAAATAAGTAGCTTATTAATTTGCTCGTAAAAAGAATATGAATCAACACAATAAATTAAATTATATGCGTGTGACCCTGCTCTTTCTACAAACAAATTAACTTTTTCTTCGTCAACCTTGTATAAATAAAGTAATATTTATTGTGCAGAAGTTTCCTCAAATTAAGCAAGGTTACTTTCGCATGTTTTTAAATTAAATGGTTTCATCTTCTTGTCCATTTCCGGTTGCCATCTAAATAGGTTACATTAAGATGGCAACCGGAAATGACACTTCTATTTAAAATTTTTGAAAAAACAATCTAAAGAATTCCATTTAAGTTGTAGAAATAAATAAAAAAAATTGCGTATCTAAAGTCAAATCTATTCACGTCATCTTTTCAATGCGGAAAAGTACGTGACACAGAATAACTTTCAATTTCAAACAATTACCACAGGTAAAAAAAACTCTGGGCTTAGGAGTAGTGAATGAATAGATTAAACTAACTGAACTGAGTAATGATTAGATCTTAAAATAAAAAATAAATGTATTTGATTAATCATATTTTATTAATATTCTCTTGAAATATACAATTAAAGTCTTGATTTCGTCAGATTCTCTTGAAATATAAAATTTGTGCAAATCTCAAAAGAAAAGATGATTCGTTAAGTTCATTACGAAATTAATTATTAAATTAATCATCAGTTAAAATTCCGATTTGTGATTCAAATTATTAAGAAATATATACATTATAAGGGCCAAACTGTAAATCTAATTGTACACTTTCCACTACATCAGTGATTCTCAAACTTTTTGGTCCGCGACCCCCTTTTGGACATAAAAAGTTTCTGTGACCTTCGAAAAATGGGTATGTTTTTAACCATTACCCCAAAATATTATTGCGTAAGTCGATATTACCCCCCCCATTCTGAATAGAGAACAATCAATGAAAATTTTAAATAAACATTATTTATTGAATTAATTTGCATTTACATATTTATAAAAAAAGAAAATAGTAACAAATAGTAATAGACAAACAAAATAAAATT